GAAGCAGTGCACAATTTGAAAACTACGCTCTCGGTGTTCAAGTCGATCTTTATCTGCATGTTTACAAACGGTTGTGTGTCACAGACCATGAATGAAAAACGTCGAACCCGGCTAGGAGCTGCTGAAATGGGCTTTCTTATACGAGTAGCTGGCCTTATGGGTCTCGACAAGGTTCGGAATACTGACATCCGGAAAAGCCTTGTATACAGCCTTTGCTTCTCCAAATTGAGAAGTCAGAGCTGCGTTGGTTTGGCGATGTGTTGCGAATGCCTCCAGAAAAGAAGGCTAAGCAACTTTCTTGGGAATCCGACTGGCAGCAGGCCCAGGGGACGGCCAAGATTAACTTGGTGGAAACATATGGAAGGAGTCTGTTCCAGACTGCATTTGTCTTTTGCCGAAGCTCAGACTCTGTCACAGGATCGGGAACGTTGGAAGCTCTGTCCGACGCGACTGCCTCCGCGACCCGAAAGGAGAAGCGGCGATGGAAGAAGATGGTGAAGAAACTGTGGAGAGGCTTTCATTCAGCAGTGAACGAGTGATAATGGCTGTGATCTTAATCAGTTGATCGTTCAGAAGATAATGAAAGGTTTTAAAAACGACAAAGCACTTTTGGAATAACCTATGCATAATAGGCGATGCTACATTTGCGATGTTCTTTCGAATGCTACCTCTCAAATTTAGGTAGATGATTGTGAAAAACAATCTCTTCACTTAGCAGACGAGCATAATTTTTCCATGCAGTTTTCAGAATGGTTCACTGCATAGCTCTTTATGCATTTACTAGTCTTAAAGCAGCGTTGCTTTATTCCTTGTTTGATCGCCTGCTTCGGATGTAGGAAAATTCACCTACTTTAATTTACCGACGGAAAGTTCATCGACGGGAAAATTCACCGACCGGGACCAACCGGAAAATTCACCGACCTGCAATTCGGCGAAAGGAAAATTGGCCGATTCCACAAATGATCACCGCTATAAATTTATTAAAAACCATGAAACGTTTAAAACTTAATTTATTTCATATCATATAGTATTGTCAATATTTCTAAACAACTCAAATGTGCTGATTTTGAATTAATTTGCCTAAAAATGATAATGATGTAGGTAACTGTAAATTTCGAATAAAACGTTTCGTTGAAATAATTTATTTTAAAAAATATATTATCTGGAACATAATTTACACGCATAACAATAAGCTGTCACTACAATACCTAATCAGTAAATGTGTCACGCATGTGAAAAACGCTAAAGCATAATTTCTGTCATAATTCGAAACTACTCGGAAAAGTCTTTCAGCGCAATCGCTATATTTCTTATGTTCAGGGCTACCTTTGGCCATTCACATATTGTTTTATTTGGAATGTTCTGAAACTCTATTCACGCTGAATCGTTTCAATAAACATCCAGATATTGGATTTCGAATCCACAATGTCACCCTTGAATTGAATTACTTCTCTTCAGAAGACGGTGTCTTACTCCTTTGTGACAGTTCAACATTTCTAGGGAAAAGCCGGGCATTCGGCGACCCATTCGTTTCACTTTCTTTATATATCTTATACTCCTCGGGAAATACAATTTCCTCTCGAATCAGAGGCAAAGCTGTTGCTGCTTGCTTCCTTATTCTGATGCGTAGAATCTTTTTTTTGATACTGTCGGTTTTCGCAACATGTCCTGCAGCAGCTTGGCTAAGTCGCATAGATATAAAATGTTGGGGTGCTTCCTGACTATTAACTGCATGATCACGTATATTATCCTCCATCTTCAAAGCCTCTATATGAACCGCATCCCCAATATGGTTGTGATCTTCCTTTACGGCCTCACCGGCATCTCCACTGTTATTATACGAAGCCGACACTTGTGCTTCTGATACATCGCACACTTCCAAAATGTCTTGTCAGCTTGCCTTTCTTTGAAAAGTAAGTGACCGTCCACTAAAAGTTTCTGTCTTTCCCTTTTACTCGTGCCGAACTGAAGGGCCATGACGGTTAGTGAAGATTCGTAACTGAAGTATCACACCAAAAGAACTTTTTGA